CAAAGCAATGGTATTCCCAGTATTCATGTATGGCTGTGAGAGTTGGACTATAAGGAAGGCTGAGCGCCGAAGAATAGATTCTTTTGAACTATGGTGCTGGAGAAGACTCTTGAGAGTTCCTTGGACTGCAAGGAGATCAAATCAGTCAATCCTAAAAGAAATCAACCCTGACTGTTCCCTGGAAGGCCAGATAATGAAACTGAAGCTCAAATACTTTGGCCACCAAATGAGAAGGGAGCACTCACTGGAGAAGACCCTGATGCTGGGAAAGATTGAAGGTCAAAGAAGACGGGGACGGCAAAGGATGAGATGGTTAGACAGTGTCATAGATGCAACGAACATGAAGTTGAGCAAACTTCAGAGGACGGCGGAAGACCGGAAGGCCTGGCGTGATCTGGTCCATGGGGTCGCGAAGAGTCGGACTCGACTGTGTGACTGAACAACAACAAAAAATTCACCATTTTATCTACAGAATGCACATTTCAAAACAAAATTCTCACAATCCCTCACTTCCTATTTAAATTTTCAGGTGAGCTTTAGTGAACCCTGCAGGAGGCTGTTACCTTCCCACCGAAGTGGGAAGGTTACCTATTTATCTACTTGTAACTAACATGTGATACCAAAGAAGCAAGAGTTTCAGATAGCTCAGAAATACCTCCACAAGGGTTCAGTAGCTACTTAAAATAGCCATTGTAGATTGTGGCATAGGGGTGAGATGATGCACAGGAAATAAGACATCAGTTGCAGGAGTCAAATATGAGGAGTAATTGAGACACATAAGCCTGGGGCTGGGAAAACCCTAATGGAATTCCTAAGTGAAATGGCCCATTGCTGCAATAAATAGAAGCTCTATTAAGGATTCCAGAGAAAGCACGTAATGCTGCAGGGAAGTGGTAGTGGAGTAACCTCAGCCAGTGAAAAGAGAGCAAGAGAGACAGTGAGTTTGTGTGTGTGTGCAAGTGAGAGCACATAAGTGAAGGTATTAAATCCCATCAGGAATAAAAGGTTCCTGAGAAGAGAAATTAGTAGTGAGAAGTCCAAAGAGCTGAGTCATTTGGAGTCAGAGACAAAAATCAGTACATCTCAAGCAACTGGGACACGCTGTCGTCATAATATCCAGCAGGGTAATGCATAACAAATGGTTCAGAAAGTCTACAGAACTGCCTCTCATTAAGACCAGAAGGTCCTCATGTGGCAGTGGCAGAGGTTTAAAAGGCCACCTCTGGAGGTGAAAAAACTGGACTAGTATCCAGTAAGTTGTATGCTAATGTTCTTTTCCTGTCCATGCTCTTTACTTAATTTTCTCAGAAATAGTGCAAGTATATAATGAGTTCTACTTCACAAATGAAAAAGCAAGAGTCACTTTTTGGTCTGCCCCCCATGTGAGCATCCTACAAGATGGGGTGGGGAGAAGGAAAGCACGCAGCATTTTTCCATGGCTTTCTCTACTCAACTTATGCTGATATACAAATTGACCAGTACACAAGAACCAGGAGGGGGTAGCTGTGGCTCAGTGGTAGAGCATCTGCGTGGCATGCAGAGGGTCCCAGGTTCAATCCCCAGCATCTCCAGCTGAAAGGATCAGGCAGTATGTGATGTGAAAGGCCTCTGCCTGAGAGCCTGGTTAGCCATGGCCAGTCTGAGTAGGCAATACTGACTTTGATGGACCAGTGGCTTGATTCACAGCTTCATGTATTCATATGACCATCAATTGCTTTATGATCAGAGATAGGGGAATAAAATTATATCTAAACTCTTTAGTGACATTTTCATTGATTTCTACACAGCCAGAACTTCTAATTCCTGTAGATACATTTGAATGTAAATAGCCATTTTGTGCATTCAGGATATAAAATGATCCCATGGAAGAATTCTGATGAAACAACTGAAGCTTTCATTTTCATAGATTCATGATTGTCACTAGACAATCTCTCCATTTATAAAAACAACTTGAGAAAGGAAGAAATTCATTTGCACAAAATCTGTAACAGTACTTGCTGGAACTCATCAGCTACATTGTCCCCATCTTACAGAAGGAAATTACTTTATAAGCTAAGGAGATACTTGAAAAATGCTCAAGCTATTTTGCAAAGTTCATGGTTATCTTGGTGAAACTGCATGCTTTGCCACAAGCTGTTACTGACACATCTCACAACTTTTCTCATTACAACACAGGAATTATATAACTTCACACACCATAGATTACAATTAAAATGGCAAACAATAAGAGGCACCCCTACAGTTAGAAGAAGAAATAAATTATGGGAAGCAGGATAGATCTAAGACTACTGCTTGGGTGAATAAAACAGACAACAAATAAATAATCACCAATAGAAGTTGTAAAATAAATAAATTTAAAGCTGGATTTTTCATTAATGTGCATTTTACAACAGAATTAAGACAAAGAAATGTATATTGTAATCGGTTGAAATTCATGCCAACAATCTATAAGGGCTAGATGGGACATATGTAATATTGAGAATATAATTAAGTGCAATAACGAGGAGTTTCAGAGTCATTCTTTCAATCTAATGTGCTGAAAAGGACTGGGCAATGTCTCCAACTTTAAATATAATGTGAATAACTGGTTATGTGCCAGTATGTATTAAGACCTAACAAAGCACTGACATGTTAGTCAGAAAAATGTCAACTTGAGTGTTCTTCATTTTAAAATGACACATCCCTTATTATTTAAATTTTCCTTTGTTATGTGATACCTTGGCTATCAAGATTAAAAAAAAGTCGGCAAACAGATTCCAGTTCTCATGTGAAGTAAGAAGAAGCAAAGAAAGGCAGGAGCAGAATTTAAAGGACACATCAAAATCACTTCAGGCACATCAGCAGCAGATGTGTTTAATCTTGGTCCTCAAATCTTACCTCATCCTTATCCTGCACTTGGATGAAAAGTGGAAGAGCAAAGCCAACCTGGGCCAGTTCAGGGATAGCCACACTGTACTCAGAACTGTTGAACTCAGGAGCATTGTCATTTATGTCAATGACAAGAATGTTGAAGGTGGTCATCACGGTTGCATTGGATGGTGAGCGGTCATCATTCAGCTCTGTGCCCTGCGAGAAGGAAAATCGGGATAGAAAAACAAGGTGGACTTTATTTCAAAGAATTAGAACAGAGACATGTAAAAGCTATGGTCATCGTAAAGAAGTTGCATACAGACCAGAAAGCAAAATTCTTATGAGTTCTACTTCATACTCATACATTCTATATCCTAGGTGCCATGTGTTTTAATGGACTGTGCACATTTCCTATAACCAGCAAACAAACTCTCATGGGGGAGCAGACATCTTTCCATTATCTGCTGTGTAAATACAACCAGCCCCCAAGTCTGCCAAGGAATGCTCCAACATGGTTTTTCCACAAAAAGGATACAATATTTCACATATACTATAGAATGACATTTTAATGTTTTATCAGAGTTCCTGCAACAGAACAAGACAAATTGGAATAAAATCTCCTCAAGGGCTACTCATGGGGGGAAAGGGGGGCAGCTGTTAGGAGGAGCCACTCAGAGCCATCTCTTTGTTAACTCTTCCATTTATGTGCTAATTTGCTGCCATCCATTGATGTTACTGGCCACCTGACCCAATTTCAGCTCTACATATGTATCTTGGTTCTGAGTGGCTTCTCCTAACAGCTGCCCCCATCCTCTCTTTTCCTGTAAATAGCCCTTGAGGAGATTTTATTCCCATTTGTCTGAAGAAGTCTGCTTTGCACACAAAAGCTTATGCCTTGAATAAAGCTTTGATGGTCTTAAACGTGCTTCTGCTGCTTCAGACTAACATGGCTACCCCTCCTGAATTTCACTACTGAGTGACTTCACCTCACTGTCCTGCTGCTGCTTCAGCATGCAGACAAGGAAAGGCAGGGAAGCATGGTACCCTTGCTCTCTATGCAGGCATACTAGCAGTAAGTCCTTCCAAAAAGCAGGGGCGGGGGGAGAATCTGATGGCTCACAGCCCAGCCTGTGGAATTTTGTAACTCATCTGAGGTTCTCTTCTTTTATTAACATGTAGTGGTGTGATATTTCGCTCACAACACTTTCTCTGAGAGGTAATGATTATGAGTAGAGAAGGAAAACTGTGCCTGAACAGAAGAGGAACTCTGGTGACCTGCTTTGGGGAAAAAAATGCAAACACATGTCTTTGGGGAGTGTTTTGTACCCCATAGAATCCCTTTTCCACCACTGTAATTTTCATGCAATAATTCAGTTCTGCCCTGGTGTGTAATACAGAACCCCTTGGGTTATAATTTGAGAGACTCTGCTGTGAAGGCCATATGTATCATCATGTCTTTCCTTCTTCCCATGCAGCAGCAGACTTCCAGAGAAAGAAGGCAAGGTCTTATGTTACATTTTGCAGGGAGAGAACTAGACTGCAAAACTCACACTGGGTTTATTAGTTGGAGTGAAGAAAAGGCAGCCTTTCTCCATTTAAAAATAGACTCTGTCTCCAGTTAGATTTTTCTTTAACTAAAGAAAACAGATCTGGAGAAAAAGCAGGATTTCAAGGGACAGCGATAATAGCATATTGACCATGTAGAATTCCACCAAAAAGACCCTCAGCAGAGGTCAAGTGGAGTAATTGCATGCCACTTTCCCTCCCTGACAAAGTACTGCCCTGCTTGGCAGCTAGTAGGTGATCAGTACACCTCTGGAAACTGCCTGCCACCCTCCCAATCAATGACCTCTCTAATAGATGCTTTTTCCTCTCTCAACCCCACACTATCCCATCCAGTGGGATCCATACTACTGTATATGTTTCCAAGCAGCTTGTTAGGTTAGTATTGATTTTAATTAAAGACCTGTGATTGGAGATGGTGTGGGTAGGGAGGAAGAAATTTCTAGGTAGTGGAACATGATGTGGCAATGCATTTGTTAGACAACTCACTTTGATCATCCTCATTGTAATCTTCTTGCTGTGTAACATATCTGAAGGCTTTGCACAGTATTAAAGGTTCCTATAGCTTGGTTGTGGCCAAGGTCTCCCTAACATGAAAAAAGCATGCAAAGAATGTTTGTGCCAGCTGTAACATCTTGCTAAGTTTCTGTTTTTCCATTCCAATTTCAGGTACTACAGAGTTTAGGCATGGCCAGAGATATGATCCCAATGGCTCTTGGCCTTTTGGCTCTTAGCCTATGGCTCACAGCCAGTGCCTTCAGATGACATAGTCCTGAATCCCAGACCAGTCTAAGACACAGTTTATTGTTTCATTTTATTTTATTTATATTAATTTTGTTGTGAGCAACTTTGGGTTACTTCAGCCAGTGCCTTCAGATGACATAGTCCTGAATCCCAGACCAGTCTAAGACACAGTTTATTGTTTCATTTTATTTTATTTATATTAATTTTGTTGTGAGCTACTTTGGGTTACTTCGGGGAGAGTAAAGGTAAAGGTAAAGGTTCCCTTGCTCGAAAGCCAATCGAATCCGACTCTAGGGTTGCGGTGCTCATCTCCGTTTCAAAGCCGAAACAGCCAGCGCTGTCCGAAGACGTTTCCGTGGTCATGTGGCCGGCATGACTAAACACCAAGGCGCACGGAACGCTGTTACCTTCCCACCGAAGTGGTACCTATTTATCTACTTGCAATTTCTTGCTTTCGAACTGCTAGGTTGGCAGGAGCTGGAACTAGAGACAGGAGCTCACCCCGTCTTGCGGCACCCGGGTCTTGAACTGCTGAACTACTGACCTTCCACACCCTGCAGTTCAGCGTCTTAACCACTTGAGCCACCGCAGCTCCATCTTCGGGGAGAAGCAGATTATAAATATATAAATATTGTTACCAAAATGACCACAAAAGACCACTCAGTATTGTAATGGCTCTAGTTCTTGAAAGCAAGCTCCACTAAGGGTATTTCTTGAGGAATTCCTGCCCTGTGGCACTGCTCAGCTTGCCATGCAGGCACAAGGGGCATTAAGTGGGTTCTATTTCTTCTCTATTTCTTAAGTGGTTCTATTTCTCTCACATTTATAGCACTTAGTAAACAGAAAAGATGCTTGACTGCTGAATCCAGCAACAAAACAGAGCTTCAGACAGCTCTGTGATTCCAGAGAGGCTGTAAAACACAACTGTTTAGAAGAACATTTCAGGGTCTATAAACGGGTATGAACCGATGGCTCAATTGTTTTTATTCAAACTTTTAAGGCTTTTTTGTTCTTAGGTAGAATTTGCATGTATTTTATTGTTATTTGTAACTCTTGTTCCCTGTGTTGGATTCTAAGTGGTCTGAGAAAAAGACAAGCTTGCCTTATTAAATAAATAAATTTGTAATAAAGAATATCAGTACATGCAACCTGTTTCCTATATGTTAACTCTTGCTATTATTCAGTTCTCTTCATGTCTGAAAACATGCTGTGCATGATTATTTGCACTGTGCTCCTCACATGCCACTTTTGTGTGTGTGTGTGCGTGTGTGCATGTGTTTGTGTAAAGTGCCATCAAGTCACAGCCAACGTATGGTGACTTCAGAGGGGTTTTCAAGGCAAGAGACATTCAGCGGTGTTTTACCATCGCCTTCCTCCACATCATGACCTTGGTATTCCTTGGCGGTCTCCCATCTAAATACTAGTCAGGGCTGAACCTGCTTAGCTTCCAAAATCTGACAAGACTCGGCTAGCCTGGGCCATCCAAGTCCGGGCTACATGCCACTTACCTCCTTTATGTTATGTAATTTATGTTATTCGTATTCCCCAACCTGACATTTCTAACTCAGAATAATGGCTGGTACTCAAAAGCCAAGCATTATTCTAGGGCACTGTTACAAGGCATGACAAAATATACCTCATGGTAAAGCCTTGAAATTTTAACCATTTGAACAGTCAATTATGTGGTGTCTGTTGTTGTAAACCTGTTTGTAGAACATGAAGACACTGTGCGAGTACCTACATGGATAGCTGGAAATGAAAATGGGTGAATTCTGAAGTCACTTTTATCCAAACTGGAAACATCAGGGTATGCACCACTGTTCAAAGATCTCAAGTCAGGCAAGATCACCAGAGTCTGCTTGCAACTGCAACATTATGGGAAACAATTGGTAAATATATTCCTTGTTTTTCAAATTTCATCCTCATCCCAAATATTATTTTTGTCTTTATGTGAAGGAATACAAACACTATAACTCTGGCAACAGGGGCGTAACTAAATTTCTGGAACAGTTTTTCATTAATGGTTATTTTTGCTTTTAAGAACTATCCCCCCAGCCCACACTTAAAAACTAGAGAGCTCATCATATGGGCAGAAATAAAGATACGGTAATGAGTCTTGTGGTTTTTCTTCTAGGTGTGTCCTATATACTAAATGCCAAACCGAACACATTTTGGGCTATATGTGCAGAAACTCTCACAAACCCAAATCTGCACAAAATAAACTTCATTTCAAATCCCAAATTTCCAAAATATGTGTAGCCTCAATTTCATATGAAATTCCATTATAGCTCTTGCTGTAAAAGTTGATATTCACTTCTTCTCTCTTGAGGTAGTTTGAAATACTTGCTCCAATAAAGCTACCCTCTGATTCTCTCACCTTCACTGTAAGAATGAATCCAGCACTGTAGAAAGGATTTTCTCGGTCTAGTGGCCCATTCAGAGTTAAAGCACCACTGATGTAGTCCAGTGCAAAGAGACTGTTGGTATTGCCTGGAGATAAAATAAACAGGATCAGCACAAATAAACTCCTCTGCAGAAAAGCATAAAAAGCTCAAGACTAAACATACAGAGGGGAAAAAGAAACCCTATACTGCTAGCTCCTTTGTGTCCAAATCCTCACAAAGATCAAATACAAAGAGACACCTTGAGAAGCAAAGTGTTACCTTGTTTGAAACCCTAAGTCAACAACAGATTATTCCATGATTTGCAGACCTGAAAACATTGTTGGATACATTTTAAAAACCTAACTCTCTTCCGCACTGATTCAAATTCAGCAAGATACGGGTCTGAGAACTTAGCTATTTCTTGTGATAGCATCGCTAAAACTTCAGGCAGTATTGGAGTTTCAAAGCAGTCCTGTTAAAATGGAAATGTATTCATGGCTTTTGTATACACATCACTTCTGTTACTGATTCTGGATCTGTGGCAGTGTACACAGACACACATCTGCATTTCCCTTTCAGTACACAAAAACGGGGGGGGGGGGGGTTGGGGTTAGTTGAAAGCACTCTTGATAGGTATTGATGAGACAGGAAGGGAAGAGAAAGGCTGAAACAGAAATGGGATCTTTTCTTCTCTCCCTCGGTCATGCACAAACAACTTAAAAAAGGAGAAACAACATGGGATAGTCTAGCAACAGGAAAACAATTCTGGTGATTTGCCTGGCTCCTTGTAAGACCATAATACAGTGCTGGTGCAATACATCCATATTTAGAAGGCTTCAACCCAAAGACTATAGATAGACAACAGTTTTTAAGAGAGCTGAAGGTGGTCAGGTGTACATTCTTCTATTTTGTCCCACTTCATCTCAAACAGGTTTCACATGTTTTTAAATTGCTCTGAATGGAGCTGACAGTCAAAAAAGTTTGCACACATCAAAAAAGTTTGCACACATCACAGGCAACATCATACTTTCTGTTCTCTAAAAACAAACCCATCTCTCTAGCCAGAGTGGGCTTTTTCAGCCAATGCCCCGGCCTGGTGGAACATGCTTCCACTTGAGATCAGGGCCCTGAAAGACTTACTACAGTTCTGCAGGGCCTGTAAAATGGAGCTGTTTGCCAGACCTTTGGTTGAGGCAGCGGACTTTCAACCATTTTGGCCTCCCCTGTCCATAGTCCCCCTCCTAGTGCTCTTGCTGTTTGGATATTATTTGGGCACTGGAGTTTCTTGGGGTACCTGCAATTTTTTGCCTGACATGAGGCATGTTTTTTTTAATCTGTTGCTGCCATTTATTGTTTTATTATTTCATTGTATGATGTTTTTATATTGTAAGCTGCCCTGAGCCCACTTGTGGCATAGGGCGGGGTATAAATTAAAAATAAAAATGAACAACAACAACAATTCAGGCATCTCATTCTTGAATTACTATAGTATAGAGATGACATGCTGAAATAGTTGTTCCCAACACATATGTTCTAACTTCAAGAATAAACATTTCGTAGGCAGTTACTGTATCTGAGACTCAACTTGCCACCTATAGTAGTGGAAAATGCTGTCAAGTTGCTGTTGGCTTATGGTGATAGGGTTCCCAAGTCGGATCGGTGCTGGAGCGGGGGACTCCAGTGCTGCTCCGGGAGTGTGCGTGCGCACAACCACAAAACTCGGAAGTGACGCGACCACGCCGGGCACGCTGGGGGCGGGGCCACGACCATCAGAGGGAAAACATAGAGTTTTCCCTCAGATGACCCTGGCGCCGTCCCCAGCATGCCCGGCCTGGTCGCGTCACTTCCGGGTGACGTGCACGTCACGTGCTTTGAGGGTGGGGTTCCCCCGGGGCCTGATTTGCCAGCGGCAGGGAACGGGCCCATAAAGCGGAGGTTTCCCCACTCCCCGGGGGGACTTGGCAAGCCTATATGGTGACCATGTAGGGTTGTTAAGGCAAGAGATGGACAGAAGACGTTTGTCATTGCCTGCCCCTATGTAGTAACCTTCAACTTCCAGTGTATTTGAAAAAGTGTGCATCCACACAGAAGCTCATACCTTGAATAAACCTTTGTTGGTCTTAAAGGTGCCACTGGACTCTAAATTTGTTCTACTTCAACTTCCTTTGTGATCTCCCGTCCAAGTGCCTACCAGGGCCAACCCTGTTTAGCTTCTGAGCTCTGACGAGAGAGGGCTAGCCTGGGCCATGCAGGTCAGGGTACCTATGACATGGGTATTCACCTCACAATGTTGTCATGAGATCCAGTGAGACCAATCACATGTGATTGGATGCCAATACCTACTACATCCTCTGTACCATAGAAACTCTCTAATCCACCTTTTTCTTGTTTATATTGTTTGCAGTTTTCTCCCTATGCCTAGGGATGTGATCTCCACATTATACATTCCTTCTGTCTAGTTAGGCCATAAGACTACCCCCTTCTGTGCCTGCCCAGTTTGTTCCAGATAGTCACCAGCATTTGGCCACCAGTATTCCAAATAGCTGACGTTGACTAGCCCCTCATAACATTAAAGAATGTAACAAATCTAGATTACTAGGTTCCCTTGACTTCTCAGTAATTAGCATTTCCACCTAATGTTCCCCCAACCCACATTTTATGGATTTGCTGTCAAACACATAATCATATTGAGAAATCAATTCAAAAAGGACAAAAAGATAATCCCTGCTTGCCTGAATTACAATTTGTGATTGTCTGCAATCTGGGGCTAACTGTATTTACATTTCTGTGCATCTGAAGAAGTCTGCATTTCTGAAGAAGTATACATTTCTGTGTATCTGAAGAAGTGTGCATGCACACAAAAGCTTATATCCAAAATAAACCTTGTTGGCCTTACAGGTGCCAAGACTGGACTCAAACTTTGTTCTGCTGCTTCAGACCCACACGGCTACCTCACCAGAATCCATATCTACATTAGTTATTAATCTGCTCTTCACACAATTGAGTATTATCTACCTTTTCTTTTGCCTAAAAAGTTTTGTACAACTGAAAATCAAAATTCTCCATGTTCCAGGCGGTGTGTTCCTTTACTGCCTGTTCTATTATTTCCTGTGTAATAATCAGTGAAATATTTTGCTCTGAAGTAGTGCAAAGCTACTGCATTTTATTTAGTTAGTTATTTAAAACATTGCTGTGCCGCCTTTCCACCTATTTAGGGTCTCCAACGTGATTCACATAAAAACATTAAACCATTTAAAACAGCATTTAAAATAAGATTTATAAAAATATTTTAATGTCAATAAAGCATGTAGACATACAAACATATTACAACCAGGGAGGGGGTATGCCAAACAAAACAAAGAAGCCTTCACCTACTGGTGGAAGACAAAAATAGAAGGATTAATCTCCAGGGGGAGGAAGCTCCAAGGTTTTGGTGCCATGACCTTTCCCAGGTTGCCACCCATCTAGCCTTGGATGGCAGGGGCACCCAGAGCAGGTTCATATGGGAGAAGGTGATCATTCATGTATCTTGGTCCCAAGCATATAGGAATTTAACGGGTCAGTACCCAAACTTGAATTGAGTCCAGAAGCAAATTCAGAGCCAGTGCAGATGGAACAAGACTTGAGTGATATGGCCCCTATGGCTCACTGCCATCAACATTCAGTCTGCATCATTATATACCTACAATAGCTTTCAGATAGTCTTCAAGGGCAGCACATTGCAGTAATCTAATCTCTAGATGTTACCAGGGCATGCAGTACAGTGCCAAGATCTCCCTTCCAGGAAGGGATGCAATTAGCCCACCAGCTGAAGCTGGTGAAAGTCACCCAGGCCACCACTGCCACCTGTTTATCCAACAGGACACGAGTCCAGCAGCACCCCAAAGTTATGAACCTGTTCCTTCAGGGGGAATGCAACCCCATCCAAATCAGGAGATATCCCATTTCCTGGGTCAAACCTTCCCTCCAAGCAGTAGCACCTCTATTTTGTTGGGATTAAGTTTCAGCTTCTTAGCTCTCATCCATCCCAAAAATGCCTCCAGGAATCTGTTCACAGGTTTCACAGCCTCCCTGGGATCTCCTGGATATGCAAGACAGAGCTGTAATCCACATATTGATGGCAGCTCAGCCCAAATCTCCAGATGACCTCTCCCAGAGGCTTACACAGATATTGAAAAGTAGGGGGGACAAGATAGAATCTTGCCAGACCCTTTAAGCCAGAGGACAAGGGGTTGATCTTCAGCATTGCACCGTAAAATATACCTTTGAGGTAGGACTGAAAACACTGCAGAACAGTGCCTCCCCGTCCCAACCCTGAAATGTGGTGCAGAAGGATACCATGATGGATGGTACTGAAAGACACTGAGAAGTCCAAAAAAGAATTAACATGGTTGCACTTACCCACCCATCACCCAGCATATGTCACCCACAAGGGTGATAAACGCTGTTTAAGTCCCATGACCAGACCTGAAAACAGACTGGAATGGTTCCAAAATTTTTGCCTCTTTAAGAAATCCCTGAAGTTGCCCAGCCACCACTTGTTCAAACACCTTGTTCAAGAATGGTAAAGCTGAGACTGGGCAGTAGTTATGCAAGTCTCCTGGGTCTAGAGTAGGTTTCTGCGCCCAGGGCTGGCTCACCCACTAGGTCCCATGACCAGACCTGAAAACAGACTGAAATGGTTCCAAAAATTTTGCCTCTTTAAGAAATCCCTGAAGTTCCCAGCCACCACTTGTTCAATCACCTTGTTCAAGAATGGTACAGCTGAGACTGGGCAGTAGTTATGCAAGTCTCCTGGGTCTAGAGTAAGTTTCTGCGCCCAGGGCCGGCTCACCCACTAGGCGAACTAGGCATTTGCCTAGAGCGCTGGGCCCTGGATGGGGTGGCAGGCCCTGGATGGGGCGCCACACTGAACTGTGCCTCCCCCCCCAAAGCCCCCTCCTCCTGCCGCCCGTTGGACTTGGCAATGGCGCCTCTCCGACCGGCCTGCAAGGAGACGAAGGAGACGATGCCACGCCAAGCCGCCCCCCCCCCCGACATGAGGGAGAGACAGGCTTCAGAACTGAGTGCCGCTCTCCAAGTTGTTATGGGCTTCAGTGCGAAGCT